GTTTTTTTCTTTTCCATTTTGTTAGCAGAGCAGCTGTTCTTGAGGGAAGAGCCTGTCCACAAAGGATTGTCTTCACTTTTGGGAAGATCTACCTTATTCTGGTTTGCACAGGACAAGCAGTGTTGAAAAATCAGATTTGTGAGGCCCTGATCCTGCACATCTTTTGAACTGGGAGGGTTTGCATTATTGTTGTGTTATTATTCCCCTGGTTTTTTTCTTTTCCATCGTGTTAGCAGCCAAGGAATGTCCCCAGTTGGTTGTGGTGTCTCAAGAAGAACGTGAAACTCTCCGTGCTTTGGATGCTCTGTGCTTTGGGTTTCTAAAAAACTAATAAAACTGGGTTTTTACATAGCTTTTTGAGGAGGAATTAATAAAGAGGACAAGGATGGGCAGTTCAGCTGGGTAAGACTCATCCTGCTCCAGGAGATGGACACGACAAGTCAGGTGGAAGATCTCAGAGCTGTTCTCCACAAACCCATAAATTCTTCTACAGCAAAGTATCCTCAGCAGTTTTTTACCAAATCCAACAAATAGTTTGCTCTGAAATAAGGCAAAATTGCAGCAAATTTCTAGATTTGCCTCCTTTTTGATTTCATCCCTGGAGGGGTTCAAAAAACATGGAGGTGTGGCACTTGAGGATATGGTTTCATGGTCATGGTAGTGGTGGGTGATGGTTGGACTTGATGACCTTAGAGGTCTTTTCCAACCTTCACAATTCTTTTGAAGCTGGATGAAGATATTTTTGCACTATTGATGATCTTGATTATTGTGGGTCTGCCAGCAAATGTGGCTGTAGATCTGCTAACAGGTTTGGGAAGCATGAAGGTGTTCCTAGAAAAGCTATGGCCAATTTAGGGACCAGGGAGCAAAGATTCTGGCAGCAATTATGTGTTGAGAGACTAAGTTCAAAATCCTGCAGTTTTATAACCCTAGTTTAGCAGAGAATTAATCAAGTTCTTGTCACTGTGATAGTTGAAGGATATATATTTCCTGTGTTTTGGGGATTTTTTTGTGGTATCCAGTTCACACCCATAAAGTATCTCTGATGCCTTCAAGAGGAACACAGCAGAGAGGGCTTTGTTTAGGCTGCTAGAAACCCCTGCCTTCAAATTCCTGCTCTCAATACCTGAGAAGGGATTTCAGTGGACTCCTCCCACAGCTTGGCCAACTGCCCTTCCTTCCAGTTTTGCAAATACTTGGACCAGCTCAAAGCTTTTGATAAGTAAGGGAGTTACCAGAGACTTTACTGATGAGTCCATGGCTGAATTGGAGTTCTACAGTGACATTTTTTTCTTGGATTAGTAATTTATCACAAACATTCTCTAGGGATATAGAGGAAAAGCTGCATCCAGCCACTTTCATACTTCCCCCATAGCTTATTTTAAAAAATCAAGGAAAATTGGAGCCTAGCAAGGTGATGGGAATAGATCCTGATTGTGTTCTTCAGCCTACAAAACCTACTGAGTGCTACTTCAGCCAGGACAAAATAAACTCAGGCCAGAAATAACCAGAAATAGCCTTAAAATATCTAATCCCAGAGAGACTAAGAAAATCCTGTTGTACATACATCAGATTAGTCCTTTTCCTTGGAAGACAGGAAATGTTGAGAGCCAACTGGCTGATTTTTTCCTAAGTATTTCAAGTCTGGGATGTGTCATTTAGTACTCTGAATAATACTGGACACAGAGAAGACTCTCATCATATCTGTATGGCCATCATAACTCCTTATTAAACTGATGGATATCTTCTAGCAAGCTGTCCATCCTCATTCCAGAGGGTTTGGCTGATAGCAAATGTGCTTCCTCTCTGGGGAAATTGCCTCGTTGGTAATTATAGGGCCTGTGGAAAACTTGGGTTTCTAAACAGAACAGTTCTAGATTTATCTTCCAAACGTGGAATTTTATTATCCCATTTTCTCCTCAAGAACTCTCTCCCAGCAGATCCCTCTTCATCCTCTAAGTTGAGCAGGGTGAGCTCTGGGTGCTGTTACTGAGAGACATGCAGGACCACGGTGATTTGTCTTCTTTGCTCCATAGCCTCATTAAGAAATTAATTACAGAAATTTCCCATTTGTGGGTCTCTCACCCAGCCTTTCACCCCCTGGGACGTTGAAGTGGGCTGACTGTCAGCGTGGTGATGGAGGCTGTAAAAGTGGAGAGCATTTACCTCGATGGCATGATGGCCTCTTCCATTTTGCCTGCAATCCAAGGCTCATTTTCCCTCTGAGGCACTCGTTGCAATCCTCTGCACAGTTTCTTCCTCTGGTTGTTTAACAACGTGTCTCCTGTTTGCCCTGATTTCAGCAATCCTCCTCTGTAGCAGAGATAACACAGAGCAGGATGATTTAATGGCAGGAAAGAGGCCCTGGAGCTTGCAGTAATAGGGTGGTTCATCTGATGTGGGCTGCCATTAGAAAATCACCCAGGGATGTGTCTTCTCAGGGGGTAGGGAAGAGGCTTTTAAGGATTGCTCTTTATGGAGGATGAAAGCTAATGAGCAGAAGAGCAAGGATGAAGAGGATGGGTGCTGCAGGAAGCATGGTGGTGCCACTGCCTGATCTCACTTGGGTCCTGCCACCTACGTAGCTCCAGAGCATCCCTCTCAGCCCAGCAGAGGACGTTGCTGAAAGGTTCAGATATGACTTTTGGTTGTTCAGAGCCTTTAATTCTCCCATCTCCCTTCTTCTCCTTCACCCGTGTACAAAAACACATGGAGACATCAGCACACAGCAAACAGGGAAGGATCTGTTTCAGATGTTAGGTGGCATGCAGAGTCAGGGTTGCAGAATTTGGGCTGCAGGAGGCAGGCAAGTCAGGGCAACTGGTTTTTGAGATCTACAACTTCTTGTTCAGCCACACAGAGTGCCCAGTTCCTTCCTTGAACCAGAAGCCATCTGGCAGAGTGGAGTTGGGTTTCTTTGTGCTTTCACACCATTTTCTTCTTGGTTATAGAGCTTAGAGATAAATTAATTCACCTCTTAATACTCTCTACTCCCTCTGCACTGTTGGAGGATATTTTGGTAACCTTGCCAGGTTCTTGTATTCAATGGAATGGATGAACTTGAATCTTGGTAGAGGGTCAGTCTGTTCTATCAGGTCAGGTGAAGGGGCTTCACTTCAGTTGCAGAACCTTGAGGACAACCCTGGATTTGACCCAGTGCTGTTCTGGGGTTCTGCAGCAAGGTCTGACCTCCATCACTTCATCGTACTGCCAAGGGTACTGATGGCAAAAAAAGAAGCCCATGATTATTAAATGAGGAAGAGAGAACAACCAGCATCTCTGCAAGGATAGAAGCAGGCCAGTGACCTTAAATCTCCCTGTTTCCACCCACGAGTCGATGGAGCAAAGGGTCAAGATACTACAGGATTCCCCAACTGGGTGTCACCAGATCCCTGGTCCACCATCCATCCATTGATTGTCCACCAGCACAACATCTAGGACTTGTTTGGACACCCCCAAGTGCCATGAGGTGAATTCCCCAGTGCTGCTTCTACTGTCAGTGGGCTGCTCTCCATTTCAACAACTTCCAGTCCTGCAAAAAAACCAGAATAGCAGTGCTGAATTTTTTATTTCTGGCTTTTTCTTCCCCTCCCCTAATGGGCAGACGAGAGCAGAAGAGGACTCACAATTTTCTTCTTGCTGTATAAGCCTTTTGCAAACTCAGTTACAGCACTTCTGATGTTGGGGTTTTTTTGTGACTAAAAAATCTGCTGACGCTGTGTTGGTGCATAGAAAAACAGCAAATTTGAATGTATAATAATCTGGTGCATTTGGGAGATGCTTGATGCTGTATCCCAGCCAAGTTAATCATTCATGGGATTCATTTTATTTTATTTTTTTTTATTTAGCTCAGTTGCCTGGAGATATTAATCTCATATCTGTTGGAAGGGCATCTTTAATGCCAAAAAATTCATCGTAGGTGCCTGACTTTTCTCTGGCATCAGGAAAGATGTTGAAGGAGAGCTCAGAGTTGACAGCAGGCTGGTAGAAACAGAGACATTCATTCCTTTATTTTCTTTACCTCATGAAGAAATACCCAGGTGATGATTTGCAATATTGGAGCATATTGAACCGTGTGCTGTAGTCATGAATATAAATTGAGCTGACGTGACACTCATCTTTCCAGAGAAAACCAACACAGCCTTGCTCCTTCTGGTAATTCTTATTGCAACTCAGAATTCTCAATGCTCTGAGAACCTCTCCACGGAGGTAATAGTTCACTGGATAACTGTTTAAAAACCACCAGTGCTAAAGGACATGGAGTGTCTGCAGGAGAAACTCTTCCCAGATTTCTAATGACTCTGGCTGGCAGCTTTGCTCTCCAGATCATCCAGGCTTTGACCATTCCTCCTTTAGTCCTAGAGGAGCCATCCCAGCAGACAATCTGTGGTGTTGGGGTGGCTTTGAACAACAGGGATCAGACACTCCCTAGGTTTTGATCATCCTCTTTTACCCAACACAAAGCTGGTGGGGTGGAACATGACCCTCAAGTTGCTCTAATTGTATAAAAAGCCTTGAAAGCAGGAGCTTGTGTGTGGATGGACTTCTGCTGGAGCTGGATCTTGGATAAGATGATCTCTTGGAGATGTCCCTGCTTATTGCAGGGGGGTTGGACTAGGTGACCTGTAGAGCTCTCTTCCAACCCAATAAATTCTATGGTCTCCAGAGGTCCGTGCTGGGGTTCTGTGTGATCCTGTGATCACCCACAAGCCAGCAGCACCCTGTGTCTGTTCAGGGCTCTACAATCCTGTGCTGCACTCAAGGTGGTCTCTGCTGCAGGGTTGAAGAGGATGAGGAAGGTGTGCTGCCTGCTCATGGTAGCCTGCCAGGAAAGTCAACTCCCAGCACTTATTCCTCCTCAATTTTCACCTCCAGTGATGCTCCTCTAGAAACCAAGCAACTCTTTGATGAACACAGGGCAAAGTGCTGAGGTCATTTTGTGTTCCTCAGAGCAGTTTTAACCTTGCCCCTTTAATCTGAAGACCTCTTTCTTCTTCCAGGTTACCAGCCTGTCCTGCCAAACCAGCAGCAGGGGTTCCAGGGTCTCATGGGAATGCAGCAGCCGCCCCAAAGCCAGAACCTGATGAATAATCAACAGGGAAATCAGGTGCAAGGCATGATGGTGCAGTATCCAGCCATGTCCTCTTATCAGGTACTTGGGAGCCAAAAAAGGAAGACTGCTTTTGCCTTTTGATTCAGGTTTTATCCCTTTATTTCTTCACGAGGACAGCGTGTGGCAGGAGGCCTCCTGATAAAGACACTTCTAAAGCAAATTGGTTGCTTGGATTCCTCTTTGACATATTCTTGGTGCTCCTGATTTTCATTCTGAACTGGGAATATTTCAAATGAAGTGTTTATTCCAGGCTGCAGTGCAGGGAGAAGGTCATAAAGGCTGAAGGAATTAAATTTCTTCCCATGAAAAAAAAATTGCTGTAAAAAACTAAAAGACAGAATTTTGGGGGCTTTTTTTTGGCCTGTGCAGTATCTACCACGTCTACCATCTAGAAGAACCATTTCAGGTGAGGTTGGATGGGGCTCTGAGCAACCTCATCTAGCTGCAGATGTCCCTGCTCCCTGCAGGGGGGTTAAGACTAGATGGCCTTGAAATGTCCCTTCCAACCCAAAACACTCTTATGATTCTTTGTCTTCTATAAGAAGCTGTAGCCAGATTTTTGGTTATTGGGTTTTGGAGAGTGGCTTGGTTTTTACCAAGTCCCTGAGTTACCCAGCCTTATTTCCCCAATTTCATACCTGGTTTCTTTGAGGTGTGCCAAGAGCCTGGGAGAGGTGGCCTGTGCTTATGTTTCCTGCTGGTCCCTCTGGAAAATTAAGAAACTAAATGACATGTAATTGATTTTAATTGATTACACTCATTGAGGAGCCATTCACCTTCTCCCTCAGCTTCTCTGAAGACAGTGCAGCAACCCAGGTGGGAATGGGGGAGTTGCTTGTGGGTAAAATTTTCCCCTTGCACCTTCAGAACCACGACATGGATAATGCATTTTAAAGGTTAATGGCCAAGGTAAAGGTTGAGACCTTTTAGATGAGCTTGATAGAGCAGGGATGGGTGTTTGCACTCACCCCAGGAATTGGTGTTGCTCCAGAGCATGGCAGTGCCACTTTACTAGACCTGGGAGCAGAGAGATTTCTTCCTAAACCCAATCCACAGGGAGGAGAACAGTTCTGAGCAGCAGCAGATGACCCATTTTGGCAGAGCACGCTGCATACTCCAGCTGTAAGGAAGTTGGAGACACTTGGGACCTGCTCAAAATTTCAGCAACCCCATTTATTTGTGCCATTTTCCTCCTTAGGTGCCAATGACCCAGGGTTCTCAAGGATTGCCACAACAATCATATCAACAACCAATCATGCTACCTAATCAATCAGGTCAAGGAACACTTCCAGCCACTGGGCTGCCTGTCTACTGTAACGTCATACCTCCTGCCCCCCAGAACAACCTCCGGTTGATGGCCCCACACTGCCCCTCCAGCAACGTTCCAGTTCTCTCTGCCAGCTGCAGGACAAACTGTGCCAGCATCAACAATGCAGGGTGGCAGGTCAAGTACTGACACTGGGGCTTCACCTGGAAGACCAAGAGGGTAGCAGTGCATTATTTGAGGGATAACTCACGGCCTTCAGAAGAGGAGGACACCAGGATGATGAGTTTGAGGACTACACTCAAGCGATTTGCTGCTGGAAAAATATAAAAAAACCTGTAAAAAAAAAATAAAAAAAAGATAAAAATTAAAAATTTTGACAAAAAAACAAACAAAACAAAACATGTTTGCTGGTTAATGGTGCATATTTTTGTCATGTCTGCTAGGTATGCCTTTCTAGCTTAGCTAGTGACATGAATTCATTGAGGTAAGATTTTTTCCTACCACTGAACACCACTGTGTAGATTGTAATATCCCCAATTCGGATTAGTTTTGTACTTTGTGTTGAGTTTGTGAAGCTAAAAGTATTTAAAAAGATAATGAAAAAAAAATCACCTTGTACCAAAGCTGTAATGGAAATGAAGAGGAAAAAAAAAAATACAAACTGAAAACAAAAAAAAAAGAATTACTGAATGGAAGGAATAATTTATATACACTATAGAGTTTTTTTATGGATATATACTGTATTGTAGTGCTTAATCACAATAAAGCTATTTGACCTCATGGAGAAAGGTCATGTTTCTACCCCCTGCTTGGTCTCCTCTCTGTTTCTGGGTGAGCTCCCCTTTGTTTCTGCAGTGCCTCGTTTCAGGTGAAGCTTTGACCTGTTCAAGAGCCCAACCAGCAGCTGAAAAGAAGAAGACACTGGCTGGAAGATCAATTGTTGAAGAAGTAGCAACCACAGTCCCCAGCAATTCTTCTGTTCCATAGAGATACTCAACCCTATTATTGCTGTGAAGCCATTTGGCAACCAAAAAATGACAACCCAAGAATCTCCATCGTGTTCAAGTACGAGGGAGGAACAATTTATTTGGGCTTCTGGCTCTTAAAATATGCAGCACAGCAGTTGGCCAGAAATTTTTAGAACCTTTTTTTAGTTTTTTTTTTTATGAATTCCTGTGGTGTTTCTCATTATGATGTCCACATTCACTCAAATTCCCAGCTTGTTCTGCTAAATTCCTCCTCATTCATAAATGCTGCGTGACGTTCCTCGTTCTGCTTCACTGAGGACAACATCCAAGTAGCAAATGGGTTTTCCAGCCAGAAGCCTGGGTGGTTTTTCAATTAAACTGCATTTTTGATCACTTCTGAAGTGGAGTTGAGCCCTCCAGAATTAGGCATTGTGGAAAAAAAGCTTGAGGTCCTTCTGTAGGTAAAATCTTGCCTGTGTCGTGGGGTGATTTAGGTACAGCCAAGATGACTGTAGCCTACAATGCTCTTGGCTGTTGTTAATCTGACTGTGAACCAGCTTTTCTTTTAAGAGGAGCAGCATTTCCTTCAGCTGTGGAAGGGCTACAACCTCAATTTTAAACAAATATTGTTGTTCTCTCTACAATAAACATCATTCAGGGTTCAGTCTTTTTTTTTCACGTGTGTCTTCAAAGTGTGAGATTTCTACTGAATCCAGTCCCACGGGATCCTAGGAAAGCTCAACAATGTTCTGTGGTGTTCTGAGCTCCAATTTCTGTTGCCCTTCATTTCCTTTCAATGTTTTCTCTACTGTGGAAGAGTTTCTCTTAGCCTTGGTCTAATTCCCCATCGTTGGGTTTGCTGCTGCTGGGTGGCTGAGGGCTCAATGAGTGGTTGTCCTTCCCTGGCAAGGCTCCAGAGTCCAGCAGGATGGACCCACAGGTGACCTTGCAGAGGACAGGTTGTGTGTAACCAAGATCAACAAGAGAGGAGGGAGGGTAAAAGTCTTTTAGACCTTTTGGTGATGACTGTATTCAAGTCCTGTTTGTTCTCTTCTCTTTGACATGCTATTGTTGCCTTGTTGGTCTTTTTATGTGGCATGGAGCAGCTTCAGGAAGAGGTCACAGCCCAAAATGGCCTTCATCTGCTGATTGTCTCACTCTCCAAAGAGCTGGGATCTCCTTAGGCATAGGGGAAACTGAATTTGATCTCCCTCAGCTATGGAGCATGCCCTGATTATTAAGGTATATACATGGGGGAGACCTCTCACATGGTCATGGGGCACAGACGTGCTTTGAGCTGGAAGGATTGAAGACAATTGACTCATTCTGTTCCTACATAAAGCACAAAAAATATTCTCTAGGGTTTTTTTTTTTTAATAAAACAGTCTGTTTAAGTCTTTTTGTTCATTCAAATAAATTAATAAAAATAAAATTAAAATAAAAAAGTGTTCTGAGCTGGATGGCTGAGGATCCAAGATGTTAAACCCAAGATTTTGCTCTTCAAAAGAGGATGTAACACCATGGTGAGGATGAAAACCTTCCACTGGGAAGTGCCTCATGAGCATTCATCTTTCTTCTTTGTAGCATATTGTCCATTATTATTGGAAAGGTTAATTATGAGCAGAGCTCATACAAGCAGAGCTTTTGTTCTAAGAGTTATATGCTGGAGTTGGTAATAATTGGAATATTGTTTTCTCAGGTGGCATTTTGTATAGAATCTGTTATTTTTTATGAAAAGTCCTGGCTTTTCTGGGCATCAGGTGTAATTTCTACTAAGGGTGGGTTGGGCATGGCCCCAACAGCAGCTCATTGAGGTAGGAATTACAGGAAGAAGGTGCAAGAGAGCACCTGAGCTTCATTTTGAAGCTGAAGAACAGCAGGTGCTCAGGGTAGACATGGATGGTGTGTTGAAAAGCAGGACTGAGTCCTTCCCAAGGCTACATGGGGATTTTTTAATCATCATCATGGAAAAAAAACCTCTTTTAGCTGCATGGAAGACCTGAAATCTTTTGGTAAGTTATATTTTTGTAGGTAGTGGCCACTGAGGGTGATAGGAAGACCCAATACATTGATAGGAGAAGACTTTCCAAGACTGGATGTTTTCTGCTTGGCTCCCATCAACTTTGACCTCAAAAAAAGTCAAATCTTAGTCCAGGTAGAGCTGGGGAAAAGGGCCTCTGAGCATGTATAGGAGTAAAAATTTTTGTGATGGAGAAAAATGATTTATTTGGGTTTTTATTTATTTTCTAAAATCTCTCAATTAAACCCAGAAGTTTTTCAAAAGTTACCCTGAATCATGTTTCCAAGCAAAGTGTTTCTGTGTCCCTGAGGGCAGGATTTAATCAGGGGACAGGATGCCAGGAGGTGGGTGGTCACAGGGCAATCCTTTGAGCTGCAAATTTCCATCCAGTCCTTTGCAGAAAAATGATCTTATCTAAGAAAAAATATTTTTTCTATGATATTTGGCTATTGGGATAATATATTTTGTACAATATTTGGAGACTATTGACATTGAGATCAAACCATAAATGATAAATCTGGACAAATTCTGCTCAGATAGATGAGAGATGAGTTCCCATGGAGGGACTCACTTGTGTCACTTGAACCCACCTCCTGGGTGCTTTCAAGGCCACCTTTTCACTTGGTTTCATCTCTACAGATGAAACCCTGAGACCTATGTGCTGGAATTCAGAACTGCTTCAGGCATCCACACCTTTCCTGGGTGCCTGAGCCTCTTGGGCAACATATTCCCATGCCCACGGGCTGTGCACAGCTTGATGCTTCTTTTATTGGTGTGGAGATCCAAAATCCACGTGCCATGGGGCTCACTGCCATCTTCCACTAGGCTGGAATTATCAGGGAGGGCTTCAGAGACTACAAAGGGGTCCAAATTAGATGGAAGACACTCGAGTAAATCTGGATGCCTGGATCAATCTGGATCCTTCCTTTTTGTCCTTTTAGAAAGGAGTGGGGGAGGCAAGAGCTTTTTTTTTAAGTATTTCTTGAACAGGTTTTATCTTCCCAGCCCGTTGGAACTTGATTATCTGTAGCTGGCATGTGGTGGAAGGAGATCTTGCTGATGTGTGAATAAAGATGTTGCAGCCATCAGAGCTGTCAGGCAGCAGTGGAATGAGCTCTGGATTGAAGCATCCACACAGCCCAGGAAAACTTCTGATCTGAGAGTTGTTTTATTATTTATTCATGTGCTTCTGTGCTCCCCTGGACTGGGGCTGTGTTGTATCAAAAGCTGCCTCACTCTCACAGATGTTCTGTGCTGCAGAACTAGAAGCATCACCCCTCTTTGCTTAAATAATTGAGGTTGGGATCAAATTCTTTCTGACTGAGGAGGCTGATTGTCTAACAGATGTATGGAGCTGGTTAGAGAGAATCTCTGCTCCAAGAGTAACTTACATTGTCCAAGCACAGCGTCCAGGGAAGCTGCAGGTTTTTTCCAACCCCTCATCCAACACAGGACCCTGCTGGTGGAACTCATTTGTGACCATGCTTCTCATCAATAAAGATGTCATAGAGGGGAGGTTAACTGCAAAAGTAGCAGTGGCTCTTGTAAACAGTTTTATATAGAGATACACCTTATTTTTTCCAGAACTGAACATTTATTCTGCACTCAGGAGCAGCAGAAAGACCTCAGAGCGAGCTGCAGTGGTGTGAGCCTTCTGCTCAGCTCTGCCCTCATGAGCTCTGTGGATGCTAGAATAAATTCTTCTGCATTTTTTTCCCCATTTCCCTTCCTCTTTCTGCTGCCCAGTTTTGTTCATAGAATGGTTTGGGTGGGAAGGGACTTTTGAAGGCCATCTCCCTGCAGGGAGCAGGGACATCTGCAGCTAGAGCAGGGTGCTCAGAGCCCCATCCAACCTCCCCTGGGATGGTTCCAGGGATGGGGCTCTTAAGGACACTGTGGTGCTGCTCTTGGTGCAGCAGGAGCATGGACAAGCCAGCCATGGCTTCCACAAGGGAGACCTTGATGCTCTTTCATTAAAAGAGGAGCTATTATCCTCAGGTTTGCCTGATAAAGGCATCTCCTTTGCAGAGCTCTGTGAGGATGCAGTATTCTAGAATTAAGTAATTAGTGCAGCTTGACATCAAGAGAGTGAGGAGCCAGATAAATGACACCCAGGGCACAGGAATCATTCCAGGTAGACCAATGACAATCACTGGGTTGCCAACACCCTGTGCTGGCTGTCATCAAAACACTCCCCTCCTTCCCTTCACCACCCTCCAATATTTTAGCCTGTTACCCACTGTATTTCTTCTGGACTCATTGATCTCTGGCTGGCTTCTCAGGTGGCTGGCAGCTTGGAAGAGAAGCTGGGTCCCCTGCCAGCCTCTGTGGGAGTTGGGACCCCAACAGCAGAGCCCCACACTGGTGGTGGTGGCTTTCAGACAGCAATAAATGTCCTCTGAGGGCCCAACTGCCTCCACAGAGGCACATTCCTGTCACTCAGCTTTGGTTTGCAAGTAGTGCCTAACGCCAGTGGCCCTAGCCATGCAGCTATGGGACCTTCTGCTGGTCCCTTGCATGGCCATCTGTGAAGCTCAGAGTGCTGAGAAAGCAGGCAGCCTGCTCAGGAATCTGCTGTCA